GGTGTCGCCAACCCCACAGGGCATCAGGCGGCACCATCGGCCCCGCGGGCGCCTGTGACAAGCGGCAAGTTGCCAACAGCCCTCCCGGCAGGCAGCCGCGTGCGGAGAGTGGGGGCGAGGGGCACGCGGCGCCCGGGCGGGGGAGGCAGCACGAGGCTGGTCGTGGAGGTCAAAGCCAGTGTGCAGCCAGGCGCTCTGGCCAGAGCAAGGGCCCAAGTCTGAGCCTTGGGTATAGCAATGACGCCCTTAAAGGCCACGAGCTGCTCTCCTCTGTCTAGGGATGGGGGCGGCTTGTGACAAAACCAGGAGGGTTTCAGAGGAAGAAGCGGCTCTTTAAACCACGGGCAAGTATTGCCAGCGCCGCGGCCGGCCAACACCCTCGAGATTTCCCCCGTTCTGGTCCCAGGCCGCCCGCAAGCCGGCTGCCAGGAGGGGCGGAGGGGAGGGGGCCGATTAACTCACTGGGTGCTAACCCAGCTCAGGAGGAGTTGGTTGGGGCTCAGCAGGGCAAGGCTGCTGGGAGCCAGAGGAGGGTGAACTGTTGCTTAAGGAAGCTCATAGGGAGGAGAGTCCTGGCAGGGCTACATGTTGCATGGACTAAGTAGTTCGGACTAGGCTTCCTAGTCCGAACTACCGTTACTCCTCGTTTCACGAGGAAGCCTAGTCTGAACTACCTAGTCCGTGCCGCGTGTAGCCGCGCGGCATGTAGTCTGCACTAGCGGACATTTAAAAATGGCGGCACCCGGCAACATGCAAATTAAGCCCGGGAAATTCAAATCCTGGGCTTCATTTGCAACTCCGGTTCCCGACATTACCACCCTAGTTCGAACTAGGGGGGTAGTGTAGAAAAACCCCCAGGGATCATGCCACAGAAGCAGATCCAAGTAGCTGTGGTTTTTACCAAGTTCTACCTTGGGTTGGTGAGACAGTGCAAGGACATGGGTGTCAATAGGGCAGACCTTGCAATAATGAAGCCTCTTTTAGGCACTTGGCTCTCATACTCTCATTCAGCTCTGTACTGTTGTTTCTGCCATTGGGTTAGAACAGTGGTCCCCAACCTTTACGGGCTCCCGGGCGCCCGGGGGCGGGGCCACACTCGCGCCGGGTGCCCGGGGGCGGGGCCACACTCGCGCC